TGTATTAATCGGTGTAGAAGAGGTTATTATTATTTTTTGTGGGTGATCTTGTAATCTGAGAAATAATTTTTGTATGTTATTTTAATATTGTAAAATTAATATTGCTCAGCTTTACATGTCAGAATATGGTAGTTGACTTTGTGCAGTTGGTAATGTTCAACCCTGCCGCAACTCCAACCCGCGACTCAAACCCGACTCTAACCCGACTCTGACCCGATTTGAACCCTCGATGGAAACTTAGTCAATAATTCAAACAGATTAAACAAAACTGAATTTTTAATATATAACTCTACTAAGTGAAGAATACATGCATTACTTTCTAGCTCTGAGGATTGAATGACGAAAACAGATTTCTAATTGAAAATCAAGGATAATTATGAATTTGTTTCATTTCCTCCAATTAAACTAATATTTATTATTAAAGAGTCATTAAGTGGCTGCCTTATCCTTCACTTATTAGATAAGAGTATTTACAAGTTGTCTATGATTTCAATTTACAATTTATCAAATACACCCTGTGTTCTTCTTCAACTGAATCTTTTACAATCTAAATTTTGCGCGTTTACAAGTTACACATTTTGTCACTAGATAGAGCCGCTTATATATTATGTTTCGCTTCTTCTATGTTCATTACAGAATTAAGATGGCAACGAATGCCAGCACACAACACCTTTACCACTTTTTCCTTGTACCTTTTCCTCTCTCGAGAAATTCCTTTACCCAACTTTTCTTCAATTTTCCTATCGGAGATTCCTTCCTACCTGTACACCTTTCCACCTCACTGTCCGTTATCTCATTTTCACTATTCCTGTCCTCCATGTCATTTCCATTATCCATTTCCTTACTATTTTCTTCCTCCATTTCTATTGCACATTTCTTCCTTTCTTTCTTCTTTCCTTTTTCTTGCCTTCCCTCGACCTTCCTCCTTTCCTCCTTGCACGCCTTTGCGAAATGAAAAACACGTCTCCCGTGCACCACGTCGGTATACGGGAAAAAGGATAATCCTCAATTATTCACTGCTTTGTCCCTCACTTTAAAATTATACTATTTAAACCTCCTTTCACCACCCTTTTCCCACTTCCTAATCTTATAAATCTAACTAAAATAAAAAAAAACTGCCTATCCATACGACGCTATTTTTCCATCTCTCAATTTTGCAATTAATCGATGTAAAAAATGCTACTTGTGAATTAGGTATAATGCTTATTACTGCTCTTGTGCTTCGACGAGTAGTGAAGCCGCTTCTTCTTGGTCACCATTTTCCCTAGGGAAGCCAGATTTTCTCTCAGTGTGTGTATCTAAATTCATTCAAAGAGTAGGGATACAGCAAGATACGACACTCGACAAGGAAACTCATTTCGTAGAGAGAAACAGTGGAAACAATCAATTTAAATGTCCGCGGCAAATAAATCAGAGGTGAGGATACGTTTTCGATGCAGTATTTAAAAATGCGCATGTGTATAGTACATAAGTATGGTGGTTGATTGATTGATTATTCTTGTGGGCGTCGACTACTATGGTCATTAGCCGGAATAGTGGTCGAAAAAGAATAGTTTAGTAATTTATTTGTAATAAATATTTTGTCATTTCTCTAACACATTTATATGCATTTATATGCAATCGTATGATACATAGTTTTTCATTTTTTATAAGTTATTTGTAATAATCATTTCTGTAATATATTTTTCTTCAAATATACTTTGTAGAGTAATCATTTTCGAATGTTGTTTCGAACCTTTCCATGTTGTAAAATTGACGAAAATACTTCGAAAGGCAATATTAGTAATATGAACAAAATTTCTGACAAATAGATTTCTAATTATTAGAGGTTGACATGAAATTAAATTCATTGAATTTAAATTTCTCGTTTACAATACCATTTTCGAGAGATCAAAGGTGCCGACAAAGAGTGTCACTTCTTATTGCATCTCTACTCTTTGAATTAATCCTCCCTAGATAGCGCACCTCGGTTTCTTTTGCACTACGCTCTTGTGGAATAAGGTATAAATGTACTATTGATTATGCCATCTATAAACTAACTGTTTCATTACTACTATACACGGTTGAATTATTCACTTGGAGTTTTTTAGTTATACAATTGTAGTGTTTTGTTCATAATGCTTTTCTTTTATCGTAATCTGTACACGTATATGTGTACAGGTTAGATATTTAACGCATTTGTGATTTATAGAAAGTACCAAGAAAAATTGATTATTCGTTGCAACATGCCAGAAGTCATGTTTGTACGTTCTCCGTAAAAATACGTTTATTACTCATATTATTTGAATTTCCTTATTTTGTAGTGAGTACTTACAGCTAATAAGTAATAATTTTATAATTATTTATATTTACATTCTTTTTATTATATTGATACTTAACCTCACAAATTTGATAATGTAATCTTCATTAACTGGTGTTAAATATTTTATTGTTTCTATTTCTACTAACCTATTATAACTGAAAATAATTATTTCTATGTGTTGAATCTGCCTAAATATGATATGATACATTTACATATATGCATAAATATTTGTGTTATATAAAAGATAAATCTTTTAATTTGTGAGTGAATATTTGACAGTTGATTTAATACATGATGAAGCATATAAAATACTTTACTAACATCATATATTAATGATATAGATTTGTAATAAAATAGGTAAAATGATATCATCAATTTAATCTCATAATTTTTTATAAATTTGTATTTTCAAAACTATGAATTGTTTGAACACGATTTCTTTTCAGTTCACTCAAGTTTTGAAAATTTAAAAAATTATGTATGTTAAGAAAAGAAATTATGCACATATGTAATCCAGAAATTATGAAATGTAGTTATGTTTACTTCTTGATTAATATTCTTTATCTACAAATTTTGTAGAAAATATTTTGAAATTTTATTTGGAACATTTTCTCTTTTGGAGTAATCAAATGTAAGCTTATAGAATGTATATGTTAAAGTAAATTCAACTATAAACTTTTACGTAAAATATCATCATTTGATACACAAACATTGTAATTTTCATTACTTCATTTATTTGTAACTTTTATAACTTTTTTCAAGTTAGAAAAAGCATTGGCTTTTTAATTAAAATTATTTGTATAGAAATGTTTAGTTGTAGATGATGATGTTAACGTATGTAAATTATATATTACAAAAATGCTGCTTAGATAAAAATTAGGAGTAATTTGGAATTTTGCTACATTTTTAAAAACAAATTTTGAATGAAAAAAATTAAATTTATTCATAATTATTATGTTATAAGAATTATTTTTCAATTAAAATGTTTCTTAGAATTTTTAAAGTTTCTTGAGTTAAACTGTAATTAAATTATAGTATGGATTTATAATATTTTATTAATTACTTAATTATCAACCTATATTTATATATTTATTGTAGCTTTGTTTCATTCAACTTATGAGATATTCATTACTTATTTTTTAAATTAATACTAATTGATTAATATGTGTATCGAGTAGAAAAATTGTTAATTAAAAAGGAATTGATATTTCAACTTGAACTTTATAAAAGGAAAAGAAAGGAAGATTGTTAAAAATTAATAAATATCTTTAATTTTTAATGAGGTAAATGTGAATTGATAATTAATAGCATATAAACTATATGATCAAACTGTAGTTTAATAAGAAATAAAACTTAATACAAGGAAGTTCAGAATCCAAGAACTCTAAGTTCATTGAAAAATAATTAGTATCACTTTTTTCTAATGAAAGAACAATCAGTACAGGTACTTAAAAAACATTAATATTTTATACACATTTAGTAACTTATTTTGTGTATAATTTGAATAGAATTTATAAATTTTGTGTTTGGAATACTAAATTTATTATTTCACATTCCTCTGAGCATTCTTCTCTTGGGTTCTTTTTTATAAAATTAGAACTTATGTGTAGAAAATTTTAGGATTTTTGCAATTTATAGTATTAGGAAATTTTACAGTTTTTGAATTAATGGTATAGAATAAATAGTTCCTGCTTGTATATATTGTCAGTAAAGCCCTGCATATAAGGAACATGGTATTGTGTGTAGCTTCTGAAAAAATGTTTTAATTAACCAAGCTATATATTTTGAGCCTAAATAATGTTTGGCGGCTACAAATTTGATTATATTATTTGTACTATAATTATTCTTGCAACTGGAATAATGGTACCATATTTTAACTGAAACTTATATGTTATACATGGTTTAATATCTGTTTATTTACAACAAAATGCGTCATTAACAATTACTTTTTATTAAACTAACAAGAGTAAATTTGTTCTTCTTTTTATTGCAGTGAAATATAGTATGTTTCATAATATATATATATATGTAATATAATTTACTGTTACATGTATTTATTTTATATATATTGAGAAGATATATATCTAAAAGGTACATATATACTGATGTACATGTAGAGTTTGCAATATCTTTTCATAAACAAATAACTATCTTTTCATGGTACCATAAATATTGAACAAATGTAATTATAAGATAGTACAATTGAATAAAAAAATGTAACATATTTCCTAATTTTTTCATTTGTATAATTTTCTTTTCTTTTCTTTTCTTTTCAGGATATATGAATAATAAAAATGTCTGTACATTACAAATTTAAATCCACTTTGGACTATGATACAGTGTCCTTCGATGGGTTACATATTTCTGTGGCAGACTTGAAGAAAGCTATTTTTCATCAAAAACGTATAGGAAAAAATACAGACTTTGACTTGCAAATAACAAATGCTCAAACTAAAGAAGGTAATTATTGCTATATAATTTTGATATTGTTGTATATATTTTTTTGCAGAGTAATAATTATAATTTTTATATATGTAATATGAAAATTACAAACATGTTTTTAGACTATACAGATGATAATGCATTAATTGCAAAGAATACTAGCCTGATTGTTGCTAGAGTTCCATTAACAGTACAACAGAAACGATCTTGGGACAGGAATGAAACTCCTTCATTTAGTAATTTAAAGGATGAAACTAATCTAGGTCGGACTGTAGATTTAACAAGACTCGATGGCTCTGAAGAAGATAAAATTCGGGCTATGATGACTCAGTCTACACAAGACTATGATCCATCAAAGTATGTAAATATATAAATAAAATTTACATCGTATTTTATATCATACATAATGTAATATTCTCTATATAAAAATATATTTAATTAAATTATTTGTTGATAGTTATATGAAAATACGTGGCGCTAATCAAACTGGTGATGTACCTGCAAATTATCGTTGTTATAAATGTCATCAACCTGGTCATTGGATCAAGAATTGTCCACTAGGTATAAACCAAGAACCTATAGAAATTAAAAAAAGTACAGGTATTCCTAGGAGCTTTATGGTTCCTGTAGAAGGACCACGAGTTCCAGGTGCTATGATGACACCAACAGGGCAATATGCTGTACCAGCTATTGATCAGTAAGTTTTAATACTAGGAAATACTGCCTTTATAATATTATAATTTAAAATTAAGGTTTGTTTCATAAATATTTTGTATATTTTCAGTCAAGCTTATAAGGAAGGTAAGAAGGAACGACCGCCATTTTCACAAGATCCAGAACCTGCTGTAGAAAAACCAGAAATTCCAGAGGATTTATTATGTAAAATTTGTAAAGATCTCTTAACAGATGCAGTAATGATACCATGCTGTGGCAATTCATTTTGTGATGAATGTAATTTTATTTTTAATATTTTTATCCAATTTATAGCTAAGCATAGTTATGCAATATATCAATATTTGAATATTGAATTGCAGGTATTCGTACATTCTTATTAGAGTCTGAAGAACATGAATGTCCAGATTGTAATGAAAAAGACGTATCGCCAGAAACTCTTATTCCAAATCGGTTTTTGAGAAATGCTGTAATGAGTTTTAAGAATGAAACTGGATATGCTAAACGACAAACGTATAGACAAGCCACACAAACAAATAAACAATCTGTATTGCAATCAGATCAACAAAAAGTTGAACAAATTCCGAATCAAACATCAAATCAAAGTAAACCTGCTCAAACTACAAATATTACTGCACCTTCACAAGAATATACAGAATCACAGTCAACAAATTTTGAATCTGTTCCACAATCCTATCCAGCTACTGTACAGCCACAGACTGCAAGTAAGTAATATATTTATTTATATACCTTTTACGTGTTTTTTGTGTTGCATTAAATGATGTACAAAAGATTATACGAATTCCATTTTAGATAAACTTTTTTCTTTGTTATAATTATATTTGAAGTATAAACGACAATACAAAATTTTCTAGTATCATTAAATGTAGTGTCTTTTTACTTTTTCTATACAATTGTTTATAAAAATATAAGAATTTTTTATAACAATATGAACTAAATGTTGGATATTATTTAAAAACTATAAAATATTAAATTGTATAATACTATATAAGAAATATATTCCACTTTCTTAAGCTTCTTGATAAGCTAATAATGTAACAGAAAGTACACCTATCTTCCAATTTACACTGAAATTTCTTGGAAATAATCGTGTAAATAAGTATTGCGTAAATCGGCGAGGAAGTATATTGTAAAAGTGTACCGTTTTTTAAATACATAAAAATATATGAAATAAACGTTTACTACTACTGTATTTTAGTTGATAGTATAAAATAAAAAATATAAATTATTTCTATTTAATAGCTGTTACTGAATCTACATCAGAACCTGAAACACAGACTGAGAACGTAACAAAATTGGCGGTAGACGAAGAAACAGAGGTACCACCACCCCCAGGCACAGAACCATTGCTACCGATTCCTGCAATCGGCAGTTCACCAGAAAGAGATAGAGAAAGAAGTGATCCCCCAAGTCGTGATACGAAAGAACGTGAAAATGAATATTCAGGAGAAAGGCAATCGAGAGAACGTAGAAGAAGTTTTAGTAGAGATAATCATCGCGACAGGTAAATTTTTAAAAATTATTTTAATATGATATATAAATCTTTTATAGAAATAATTTTGTAATTTATAGAAGTATTCCATAATTAATGATATGCACGTTATTTATAGTTTTGTAATTGATTTTGGTAAATCAATTTTAATTAAGCTTTTAAATAAAAATGTTACTTTAATTATTAAATAATTATTGAAAATAGTATAGCTTGTAATATAATGTTTATGGTATTTTATTTTATGTAACTGTTATACTTTAGGAGTGGGGAACGTGGCCGTAGAATGGAAAATTTACGACCAGTAAGTCGAAGACGATCCTTGTCTCCTAGACATTCGCAACATAACGATTATGGTTCTCAAGGAGCACCGTTATCACATTTGATGAATCCTCCGCCATCAAAAAGTTATCAAGGATTACCACCTGATGATGGTCACTATCCATCTAGTATGCATTATGAAAGTGCCATACGTAGATCAACTGAAGATCGTCCAGGTACTCCAACGGTAAGTATAAAATATAGTATTAACTATTTTTTTTGCACTTTTTTATTTTTAAATTTAAGTCACTTCGCTACTTGACCATTTTCATAGTTCAGAATTTGACCTTTCATATGATACAGTTATAAGTAAGAGGTGTGGTACGTAATATAGGACAAACATAAATTTTGATTCATTTGTGATTTACGAATATTTGCCATATTTTTGTTAAACTACGTCATAATAGCAGATAATAAACATTAAGATCATTATCGACGATTTACCAACATACATATCATCGTTTTTACTAGTATTTTTATCGTTGCTATGGTCTGACCTTATATGATATGATGTAGAAAATATAACTCTTTAGCAAAGCTTTGAATAAAATTGTTGAAAACTAAAGGATTCAGCTTAAAAATTAAAACTAATTATACAGGCTGACCACGCCTAAGTGTGACAGCACAATATTTTATGAACTATACTACATATACAACTGTGATCAAAAAGTAAGGGGAATTTATAAAATGAAAAATCTTTATTTGTTCCTCTAAATCAATCACGTCATTTTCAAAGTATTATGCATTTAACACAATGCACTTATGCCATCGTTTTTTCTAATTCTCGAAACAATCAAACAAGTCTTTCTCCGGAATGGAAAAATAATCTTCAATATTCAATACTTTCTTCGATTTCGCTTTTATCTCATCAGTCGAAACGGTGTCCTAGACACGGTCTTTTGAATTTGTTAAACTGTCAGAAGTCGCACTGTGCTAAATCAGACAAATACGATGATTGTAGAACGATATTGGTCGGTTTTTTGGTGAAATGCTTTCGAAGAACCAATGCAGTCTGGGACAGCGCAGTATCGTCCTATGCAGAATTGACGAGTTTGAAACGCAAAACATCTTTTAAAATGATTTAGGTTGATCCAAATGAGATGTCTGTCGTGTCAGTAACATCTTTATTTGTCAATCGACCATTTTTAAACTCTAAATCTTTGATTTTTTTCACGCGATATTCATCAGTATTTGTTGATGGTTCGTCCGGGGCGCTATTTATCTTGAACTCGTACTTGGCCTTTTTTAAAATCTTTTGTATGTTTACAAAAACACCTGTAGCTTTGCAGAAATTAAATATATTGACATAAAACTGCATAGATGTCAAAGACAGTACTACTAATCCACGCAAAAAATAATTTTATGATTTTATAGTATTCACGAAGTTTAAATGAAAAATTGACCTTATTTTTTTATCAAATTATATATCTATATATATATACTATATAAATATATATTATATTTCTAAGTCGTTGGAGTTAGTAATGTATCAGGAAAAAGAAACATTCTATTTTACATCCGTAAAATAACAATTTACTTATGTATTACAATAATATTGATGTAAATCATCTTTGAACAATTAAAAAAATTCGCAAGAAAGTTAAAACTACAATTAACGATTAAATTAATGTTTGAATAGAATTAATGTTGAGATGTCAAAAAATTAAATTAATTTAATTTTATGCGTTGCATAGTTCTTAAAAAATATTTTGTTTTTTAATACAATAGGAAATTATAATTAAAATTTATTAAAGAACATCGTTAAATTATTTTTATGAATAATTTTAAATTTAAAATATAGGAATCTATTATCCAACATATTGAATTGAACAACTTTCTAAAATGTTTTTAATAAAATCTACTTAGTCTGATCTAATCTAATTCAACAAGCATGCTGTAGTAAATAAAGTTTAACTTCATATTCTAGAAACTTCGTCATCAAGTCAATCTTTACTTTAAATAATAGAAGAAAGGAAGTCTCATTTAAGAAATATAATTATTAATATTGTTGAAATGTATTATTAGTCAGTGTTCCTTATAATATTATTGATACACTAATGTGTAATGTAACAGGTTTAGTCAAAAGTATGACAAATACATATATGTACATATAAATATTAATATCATAAATGTCACTGAGTAATGATACATTTTAGCAATGTTAATAAATATATTTTTTAAATATAACATTTATTAATTATTAAACTAATGAAAAGATAAAATTGTTAATTTTCTTTATTTAATTAATTTCAATTCGAAACCGAAGTCATATGAAAAAATTTTATTCTGTACTTTGAGTTTCTTCCTTCATGTAAAATCTCTTCTTTTCAGCTATACTATCAATATTATAATACTTGGTATATAAGTATGTATTAATTTTAGGTTGATGAACCGCATCTGCATGTGCCTTCTAGTAATCAGCCACCTCTTTTACCTTTCCCGCCGGGAGAAGATCGTATTCCACAGCCAAGCTATAATCAACCTCCACCTAATGTACCACCGCATAGCCAGCCTTTATTGCCAGATCCATATATGAGTCATCGAATACCTATTTATCCCCATCAACAAGGATCTCACTATGGACCTCCCAGATATGAAAGACCACCTTATCAACAACAAGGATACAGACCTTCACAACCACCTAGAAATTATAATGGACCACCACGTCCAATTAGAGGTTTACATCACTGTAAGTAATATTTTTAATATTTAAAAATTAGTAGTTAACTAACTAACAAAATATCTTAAGTGATCTTTTCCGATTTTAATAGGATTCTGCCTGTCAATAAATCGTATTATTACTAGTATTCATATCATGGTTTTAAATACAGACAGTTAGTCCTTTAAAAGATATTTAATGTTAAAGTTTCTATAAGATTTATTTTTTGTAACATAATACACAGTTGTGTAAAGTATAGTTGACCAGGTGCTAGGTTGTTATAAATGAGTTTTCTTTGTATACGAGTTCATCACAGAGTAATTCTAAAAGTTCTTTTTTATCTAATCATAAAGTTATAAACATAAATTATAAAAATATTACTTTTAGCCTTAAAACTATTTGTCTTTCTTTTTCAAGCGCATAATTTTAAGTCAAAATTTACTAATAAACGATATATGATTATAAAATATGTAGCAGTAAGAAAAGTAGCATTCATTTGAGATGTTATGAAAGTTAGAAATAAATTTTATGTACAAATAAAGTTGTAATAATGATACATAATTTTAATCTTGATTTTACTAAAAAACTATTAATAATAGATTAAATATAGTCTATTAATGATATTAATATAAAAACAATTAATTCTTTTTCAGTAAGTTATCGAGGATTGCAACCACCACCACCTGGATTAAGTAGAAATATTCATAACGGTAATCCACCTGGGTAAGTTAGTGTATTTCATTAAAAATTATTTTGAGTACTGTACAGATAATCCCACGTAAGTGAAATAAGTTATAAACTGATTAAATGCAGAAAATCGATGTAAAGAAAGAAGTTTATTTTTGAATGATTTCAATTTCTTTATTAAAACAGCAATGCACTTTACAAATACAAATGTATGATCGTTTTAATCAAAATTGCATATGATTTGCCGAATAGGAGATGTGAGATTTCCCGACGTTTTGCCAATATTCTGCTAGTTTTTTCAGACGTTCGAAGAAATACTAATGTGTTACGATGAAGAAATGTTCTTTATATGTATATTGCACTCGTACTATGATCAACTTTTGATGGCTTCGGATCAGTAATTAGTCAATTAAACGTTACGAAACCGATCCGTTAGGTATTTGGGAGGACGGTAGTCTGCATAGAATTTAAATTAATATCCGAATTCCTGTTTATTTTCTTGGGGTGTTTAAATTTTTCTGCGAACTCCCCGTACAAGGCGTTATCAAAGAAAATATGATGGCCTGTAATTAACCGATGTTTTGCTAGTACTAATTGTATTTTTTTTATTTGTTGCACCTTTCGTGTTCTGTGTGTCGTGTGTAAATATTTCTACTAGTTTCATCAATATAATCTTCCTACATGAATATATTTTCTATACTATTAAAGAATCTAATCGAGAAAGGGATAGGGTATTAATGGCATGCGATCATATTACAATCGTGATCATCTATTTGTATGGTTTAGATGGAGAACTTCAGAAGAGTTTTCTTGAGAATTCGCTTTTCAAGATTTAATCGTGGAAGTAGAGGTTTATATGTAGTAGTTATCTTGAAAAGAAAACAGGTGATTTGTTATATGAAAAACGAATAATTTTATATGAAGAACAATAAGGTTTGTTGAAACTTTGTTCTTGAGGATATCAACAGTTTCAAGGATTGGTATGTTAGTCAAGAGGAACTAGATATTAAAACTTATCAGAATATCATTTGGGTTAATACAGATATCCTCTGTTTATTGCATGAAGTGTGTAGAATTATTCGTATGAAATTTAGTGTGACCTGTAATTAGTTTGAGGGAATTACGGACCTATTTAACTATGTTATAAATAGAAAAATTGATGAAATATTAATCTTTCTAATCAGAACTATTAACGTATATTCTACAATTCTGGTGAAACATTTTTTAATTTTTTTATAAATATGTAGTTCACACAGAAAAAAAAAGATGTGCAGGTGCACGTTTTTAAGAATGGACTTGCATATTTTTTGTTTTCATTGATTGATTTTTTGGGGCATTATGCGAAAACAAAGATTAAGAGGCAATGTTATAAAAATCTGATTGTAAAATATTTTAACTTTTTCTACTACTTACTTGCGCAGAGTAGTTTTAAAAAAATTAATTTACATAATGAATAATTTATAATTCCAAAATCATTTTAAAGGACTTCATTCAATTGCGTGGGATTATTATTAGTATATTATTATTATTACGTAACAACAAGTTGATTTATGATGCATAAATAATCATCAAGTAGGTTGAGAATTAATGTGAATATCATTTTTCAGTATAATCGATGATCCATTAGAAGCATTTGAACGAATGCTTAGAGAAAAAGATGAACGAGATAGAAGGCTTGGCAAACATAGAAGAAGAAGCAGGACACGGTCCAGATCTCGTAGTTATAGTAGATCTAGATCACGTTCATTTAGTCGTAGATCACCATTTTCAACACGTTTAAGTCGATCTAGAAGTCCCCCTTCAAAGAGAAGGTCTTCACGATCACCTTTACTTCTGAGAACACGAAGTCGTACTCCAAAACGTAGATCAAGAAGTGGAAGTTTCTCAATCAGCAGGTAAATGAACATCTTCACAGTATTGTATAATAGTTATAATTCTATATTATTGAAAATTCTATTATAAAATATACAATATATTTTTGCAGATCGAGATCGTATTCACGTAGTCAATCCCCTAGATTATCTCTATCACGAGATAGAGATAGAGACAGAGAGAGAGATCGTGATCGTGATCGGGAACGTGATCGTGAACGTGAACGCGATCGTGAACGTGATCGTGAACGCGAACGTGAACGCGAGCGCGAACGTGAGCGTGAGCGTGAACGCGAACGTGAACGTGAACGTGAACGCGAACGTGAACGCGAACGTGAACGTGAACGTGATCGTGATCGTGATCGTGATCGGGATCGTGATCGCGACCGAGATCGTGATCGAGACCGTGACCGTGATCGTGATCGTGAAAGAGAAATGCTGTCTAGATATCGATCACCACCTAGGTCACCTCCAAGGTATATTGATATAATTTGAATAATTTTTATTGAAATGTGCATTATAATTACAGTAAATGATTTATTTATCATATTTGATATAAGTGTACATTGTAATCGTCTATGATGTTTACAGATTTCAAAGAGATAGGGATCGTGATAGAGATCGACCAAGATCACGTGAACCTAGAGATGGATGTAATAGTTATTACAATGATTCACCGGCACACGATTACCAATTCAGAGATCGAGAACGGGATTTACCCCCTCGAGATAGGCCAGTACCTAGATATCCTGTAAGGAACCAAGCTGCTCAGCATAACATACCACCTTTGCTGCCACATCTAGTCACTGGAAATCATCCACCACCACTTATGTCATTGGGACCTCCACCTACGGACAGGAAAGACTATTATGATTCCTACAACAGGTATTTCCGCCTCAATAGTACTTTAATTCATGTACACGCTAAGCAGACAGTCTACCGTACCTTATGCTGCTGTTCTGGTTAAGACTGTTTCGAAATTATGGTGAATGTAACAGCGAAACGATATATTTTATAACGTTTTACGAAAATTTGTATAGATATGTCTTTTTGATAAATATATTTATATGTATATATATGTAAAACATACATATACATATATGTTTACAAACTGCGCACACATACATGCACATACATGCAGAGATAGTTGTATAAATTTATAAATTAGTATGTACAGGTTTTAGAAAAGAGTATTATAACTTTAATATTTCAGAAACACTTGCGGAATGATTTTGTTAATAAAATGTATTTTTTATATACAAAAGTTTATAAATTATATATTTATATATTTATACAACTATGACGAAATGTCAATCTTTTTGTGGTATAAGAGTGATATGTTAACAATAGTGTGCTGCGAGATAACTGTGCTGTGAGATATGTACCTGAAAAATTCAAGTCATTTACATTTCAATTAAGTATTTAATTATTTAATAATACTTATTGTGTTCCACCATTACATATAGCTGATATTCAAAAATTGTTACAATAAAATAATTAAATTACTTTTCAATTTGAAATAAAATTGTGAGGTTATAAAGAATGTAAAAATTAGAAATAATTTATTCAAAATTTCGTTAATAAAATCATTAAGAAATGTTTCTTTATAACAATACCAAAAACATTTAAAATATTTATTAAATTTTTAAAACTAAAATAAAACAAAAAGCAACTATTCCAATCCATGAGACAAAAGTGCATGTTATTGCTATTCTAAATATTTAAAAGTTATCTATAGCGATAGAACAAATGAATAGAAGCGTATGTAAAGGGATGTGTGTGTTTTACACATATAGTATGTGTATCTTCAGTTGTATTATTTTACTGTATTTTTATTAAAAAAATACTGTATGTGGTACGAAGAGGTTTCATAAAAATAGTCATTTAATTTTTAAAGCTATTTTATTTATTTGAACAATTAAAAAATTTTATATAAGATTCAGGTATAGTAATCGTGATTATCCAATATAAATTTTAAGCAGTGATAAATTGAAATATGAAATAAATAGACTGTGAATATTTATGCCTATACGGTATATGAAAAATATATACATACGTGTATAAAAAGTAGGTAAAATTTGTGAGTTTAATACATATATAATATGTATTATGCTTTTATGTCATACAATATTGACTAAACTAGAATAAGAAAATATTTACAACAACATTATGATAGATAAGATCAGAATTTGTTTTTATATCATATCAGTTTTTATATATACTTTTTCACCATAGTTACTAGATATATTCTTTACAAGTTTAATGCAGTTACGAATATCTGTATTGAACTTAGCAAGAACAGACCTACATTATCTAGTATCTTTGTCATAGTTTGCAGCATATGCAGACGTGCTTTAGTAAATATTTATTTTTCAGACTTTGTAAGTCTATTGGAATACACTTATTCTATGCAGTTTCAATTACAATGGTCTTATTTTCGTTAAAAATTTCAATTATTTATATGCAAAAATATAATAAAAAGTAATAATTGGTTTTATTATTTAGGAATATTAAATATCATTACTTTAAACCACATGTTTATCATGTTAAAATAAGTAAACCTGAATTTTATAACATTTTTCTACAGGTTTCAACGTAAATCACTGTTTCTGGGCCATTACCATTTACAAAATATATCACTGATCAATCAATAGAAAGTAAAACTACAGTCAACAATCCTATTCAAGCTTTAAACTAATTATACAATACAAATCAAATTTATCTGAACAATTTTTATTTCTTTTTTTTTCCGTTTTAACTATATATAGAGCTGCATCTAATCTGAATAGAAACAATTTTTGCAATATATTTAAAAATAAAATGATTAGTGGAATTAAAAAAATTAAGTTGCATCTTTGCTAAATATTTGTAACAATCAAAGTGAAGCAAAATTTGGTAATTTCATAGTCATGCAGCTTTTCTAAAAAATTTTCAACTTTGCAAATTGTCTATTACAGTGATTTGTTATATGAGATTTCATATCTATTATTAATGGTAATTACCTAAATAATTTTTTCATAATGACAAATCATTGAAAACAGTGCAATTTGTATATTTTGTGAAAAACTCTTTACACTTTGTTGTTCAAAAATTTATCAAGATACATCAACCCATGCTAATACATTTTTTCAATCATGAAGAATATTAATATTTTCTATTAATTATCACATTTCCATATCTAAATTGTTTAATAAAACATAACTCTAAGTTATTAAATTAATAGTTTAATTTCTTACTTTGCATTGTTTTGATCTGTAATACTAATTCTATAGTGTAAACTGAAAGTGGATAATTTTGCCACCAATTCTTCTTCAAGTTTTGTATTAATTATAGTTTACCTTTTTATTTTCAATATATTTAATGGTAAAGTATTAGATATACTTTATGGTGAATTTTATAAATTATTAATAGACGTATGTAAAAGATTTGAAAAGTATATAAAGTGTACATCATAAATATGTAAACATTCATTATCTAATTCCTAGTATTCCATAAATTATAGAAAAAAAATATCTGAGGGTATAGTTGACAAATAGTACATCTTCATATGCACGTATTATTAATACATGTTTATAAATTTCATAATATTTGCAACGTGGTTATAAAATACGTAATATATGTGTTTATAAACTTTCCTGGTTGAAGCATACAAATTATTATTTGTATTAACTCAATTAGGTTTTCTTGAATAAAGGAAATCCAGTTCAAGAAAAAAATGTTGCATTTTCCTTTCTAACATTGCTCTTTCAGCTCATTTTTTCTGAACAAGTAAAAGAGAGTATTAAAATTTCTGTTAATGCAGCTAAAGGAATAGCACGAGAAAGGAAACTATCATTATGTTTTGGGATTGAATTTTTCCTAATTGCCTCTCTAATTTATTTATTTCTTATTAAAATATACATTTGCATAAATATTCACTATCTAAAAAATGTTTAGTAAATTTTCGAGAAATTATCTCATAAAAATATATTGTTAGCAGACTAAAATATTGGATAATTAAGATTAAATTAGCTTAAATGTTATCGTATGAAATTATTTATAGGAATTAATTTATTTCATAACAAGTTGACATTTTTTAGCAATATTTTAATTAGGTATTATTACATTAGTACTACAGCTTAAAAACACGTAATTCCATAAACGCGACAAGTATTAATTACAAGAATATAAACAATCAAAAGAAGAACCAATATTTTGAAATAAGATATGATTTTTTATGCTTTAACAATTCAATATTTTCATGTAAATTGAAAAACATTTAATTGAAAGGATTCAATATATGAATACTCTAATATTCGTATTACAATTTTTATTACAAATGTTGTATAAATATTTTTAAGTTAGTTTACTAATTTTAGCATTATGAGCGTAATAAATTAAATTGAAAAATTCTCCTCATTAGTGATCCTTTCTAATTTTTTGTTATTCAATATAAATTTTGTAATTCTTATTAAATTATTCTGCTGTAAGTACATTAATTTACAGCAGTAACTTAGAAATGTTGAAATATTGCATTGTCTGTGATAATTTACAAATTATTGAAGAATTAGTGTGAATAGTTACATTGATTGTGTTCAACAAATATTTCTTATAATTCATTGATACATGTAACATCGAGTGATTTCAAACATTCATAGCCTGCCATAGTACTGCTTGAAGTTCATTAATGTTAATAGTATTAGCGCGTTGTTAAACTCCTGCAATTTACATTTGAATTTCTCAGGCAGTATACATGTATTATTGATAGTATTGGAATTAAATATGATTTACAAATGAAACAATAAGTATAATCTGTTTGTGTAAATGTTATTTTAAATTTAAACAATCTAAAATAATTTATTAGACCACAGTAACTAAAATTAAATTATCATTGTGTTCATGATAATGAGATGATTGCGGATAAATACCAGTATTTTAAATTGCTTAAAATATTGTAATAATTTATCTTTCATTCCTTCAAATAATGAATAATTTACTATATATCAATAACTTTCTATCAATATTATAAGAACGTATAATAATAATTCTTATTATTATATAAACTAACAGATTATTAATTTTATCTACATGTACTTTTGTACATCAAGTATATTATTTATAGCTATAAAATCACACTGTTTTTCATAGCAAAGTTCTTTGCTTTGTAAACTAAAATGGGCTCTTATTACGACATAGTTTATACCTTAATACTTAATATAAATAATGAGTTTTATATTTTTTGTATTAGGATAAGTATTCTTAATTCTATAATTTTTAATATTACATTCCTTTTAAATATCATTATAATGATCTTTGCAAAAAAACTGTACTTTTGTATGCGCGATTTAAGGAAATATTTTTATAAAAATGACATAAATATTTATGTTGATTTTTTTTTTAGTTGATTTGTTATTATCTCTGTATAGTCATTTACATGCATGTAAAATATTGTTTGTATATACATAATGACGGTACGTTATGACATATACAAATAACAAAAAAGTGAAAGAAGAAGACACAAGCAAGGAAAAGTGTATACTGCAAGGACCAACTTGGAGATTGTGGAAGCTACCCAGCTGATTGACAGATCTACATGGTTTCTGAATCAGGTGAATTCAGGGCCAAATCAACATTTGTAACATAATAAAATGTTTTGCTTTCTTTTTGTTTTTAATACATAAAATAAAAATATTATAAAATATTTTATAAAAATATTTCACTTTAAATTAAATTGTGAATAAAAAATCAGAAATTAGATTGTACATTACAGTTATTATGTTAATAGCATTTTTAATAAGACAATTTTTATAATTTTAATGTTTAGATGAAGATATTAAAAGTATATTGAAAGTTATAAATGTTGATTTATTTACTTTTCGCTTTTATGACATCATAGACAGTAACTATAACGTATTTGGTAATAGGTAATTTCATCTATTCATCTTTCCAGCTTCAATGTAACTCTTACGTTAAAACTTCAACTTTTCATAGCAGCTTGACAGTAAGACAAAAAAAATGGTAAAATCATTTTTTTACAAATAACAGTGTTTAGTTACAAAGACTGTAATCCTTTGGTCTAAAATTAAACAACCTATATATAATTAAACAATTATATATTTTGATATGTACCTTTATTAAAAGATACCTAAACTTATAGCTAAAAGTTGTAATAAAGTACATAATCTGAATTTAGACTTATAGGATACAATTTAAATGTATAACAACTCTTTAGTTCTACTTTAATATTAAATGATCTATAGATTACAATGTTCACAATGTCAGTGACCTTTTATGATGCAACCTACAAAGTTCAAAGATTTTATAATTAAAAGAAATATAAACATTTTTTATGGATTTTTTGTCAACAGGTATTCTGGACCATCTACACAACGTTTCGGCAGTCCTTTACGCGACACACCGCATAAAAGATTCGACGATGTTGCGCCTCCTGGAACAGAAGGTTACTATGATCTCTCACCACCAGGTGTTGAGGTTTCTGATAGATCTCTACGCGACGATCGTGATCGACGTCTGTTAAGAGATCAAGAAGATCGTGAGCATTCTCTTAAAGATAATGATATTGAAGAACGGGATAGATTACCGTTAAGGGACGACAGGTAAAAAACAATGTGAAAGTAATAATAACTTAAAAATTCAGTAATATTAGTTAATCGATATAATTCGATATTAATTAGGAATCTGTAGGTATCCGAACTTGCGGATTTGATACGGAAAAATACGACAGAATCTTCCTAGATATTAATGCAGATTGTATATTAAATAGATCACATCATATGCGTTAAATTATTATTACGCATTAGTACATATTATAACATAGAAATATGTCTCATAAGTTTTATATGTGTGTTTAGGGGTCGTGAACGTGAAGATCGTTTCCGTGAGAGAGATGAAAGGGACCGAAGGGTTCTGAATAGGGATCGTGAAGATCGTGAAAGACCAGGATTATCTAGAGATCACGATGATAGAATACGAGATAAAGACGATCGTGATAGAAGAGAAAAAGAAAAAGAGCGAGATGATAGGCATACTCGTGATCGCCGAGACGATGATAGACATATTGATAAAAAGGATTATGATAAAGATCGGTATGTATGTTTATAATATTATATGTATATGATCTGTATTATTACTACTTAGTAAACCATTTTGTAATTTGATAATTTGAAATTTCTATATTTCTCAACTAAATTTCTAAATTAAATTTGCAAGTTATAAAATGTCTCTATTCTTACGATATAACGTTTATAAATTTTCATATTTATTTCTAATTGTCCATATTTTCAAAGAATTTAATCGAATAAGATGGTAAAAAATGCCCTTGAGCCAAATGAAACACCCAATACGTCAGTCGATAGCATATCTAAAAAAAATATCTCACACCAAGTTACAACTCCCTATCTGATCATCTGAGTAATTCTCAATCTGGTGGGGATAATAAAAGGAAAAAGTCAAAATTCCGATTTTCGACCTATTTTTCCTATGTAGTTATGTACAATACTATTCAATCTTATTCGATTAAACCCTTTGACCATTTGTAAACTTGAAATGTAATACAAAAATAATTTTTACTTACGATTATATGTTTTGATTAATTTAATTTTTTTATTTCACTATATCGAATTGCATCTTATAATTTTAGTTACAGGGATGAACGAGATCGTCATAGGCAAGATGATAAGAATCGCTCCCGTGAAAAGGATAGACGAGAAAGAGATTATGAATCTGAAAAAGATAGAGATCGGCATGAACGTTATGAACGACGTTCGGTTGAAAAGAAAAAGACCAGAAAAAGTTTAACACCGTATTCTCAAAAATCTAGGACAGACGCAAAAGATGTTTCGCCTGAACGTATAAAGAAAAAAGAAAAGGATCATGAAGAAAGGAGTGAAGAGAAGAAAAAAGAAAAGAAAATTAAAGAAAAGAAAAAGAAAAAGGACGATGAGAAAGAAAAGAAAAAGAAAAAGAAGAAGGAAAAGAAATCTGGTCAAAAGGATGTTATAAAAGATGAACCTATTAAGTCGGTTGAACACGAAGAATTATTAACAGAAACTAAACAAGAAAATATGTCACCTGCAAAACCTGATGTAATAAAATCTATTACCGAAGATGAGAATATAGAAAACAGGATAGTTTGTATGCCTACTGAAACCAGCATAGAAGATCCCATTAAAGAAGAATTCGAAGATAAATCTTTAGCCATGAATCCAGAACCTCCAGAATTTCATGAAACTAGTCCAGAAAGAATTGATCGCACAGAATTTGGAACAAACCCACCTAATCCTAATTTCAAACCAATTCCAGAATTGAAATCAGAAATTAAGCCCATTGATACCCTTTATAGTGGTTTAGATGATACAGAAATAAATACTGTAATTACCGAAAAATATTCTTTACTGTCAGAAAATGAAACAGAAGATAAAAATATTTTGTTGGGGGAAAAGTCCCCAAAGAAAGATGAATTCTTAGCTCCAATGCCGGAGCTTTCTAAATGGGAAAGAGATGATACTGTAGAAAAGGGAGATGAAATATGTGAATCATCTATAGAAAAAATACAAACAGATGAACCTAAAAGTACGAAAGTAGTTACATCAGAGGTATTAAAAAGAGCTGAAAATGCAATTTTCCAAAAAGCTATAAATGCTATTAGACCTATTGAAATTAAAAAAATAAGTGAAAGTAGAAAAGTATTATATCAAAACCCAGAACCCAAAGTACTTGAACCTGAACCAAATAGAGAACCTAGAAAAAGCGTTAATGTTACTATAAATGTTGGACGAAATGAGAGAAATGTTGAAATTACAGAACCAGTAAAGAAAGCCAAATTAGACAGAACAAAATTCAAGCCAGTTCCGGAAACATATTCACCTACGAGACTTTCAGCTAAAGAAAGATTAGGTGAAAAAGTAGAAGAAAATAAGGAAAGAAAAATTAGTCCTATTAAAAGTTTCTTAGATAGACGTGAAACAAAAAGTGAAAATCAATCTAGAAGTCGATCTCCTAGAATTAGTAGAGACAAAAGAATTTCTCCATTGTTAGATAGACGCGTCGATCCATCGTTACCTTTACCAGGAAATGAGCGGAAAGTATTTCTTGATGATAGAAAACGAGAAAACAAGGATCGGTGTGATCGTTCAAAAGATAGGAATGATTTCAGAAATGAACGACATGATATGAGATCTGAAAGAGATCCAAGAATTGATTCCAGGGGAGATTTTAGATCAACACGAAATGACGTTAAAGGAGAAAGAATAGATAAGGACAGAGAAAAGGAAAGAGATAGGGAGAGAAGAGGAAGGACACCATCTTGTACATTTAAAAGAAATGAGATTTCGAAGATGGGTCTTTTGAAGGCTAGAGATGACGAAAGCGATAGAAGAAGAGACAAAAAGTCGAAAGAGGATAAGAAGAGGAAAAAAGAACACCGAAGTAGAAGTAAATCTAAAGAGCATAAAAAGCGAAAAGAAAAAAAGCACAAGAAAGATAAAGAAAAGAACTCAGAAAAGAAACAGAAGCATAAAGAAAATATTGTTTTAAAAGATAAAGTTGAAACTAGTGAAACGAAAATAAGTTATGAAAATCCTGAACCTCCTGTTGTGGAATCTATAAAGAAGCAAAGGAAAAATCCAAGACTGGTATCAGATCGTAAACGTAGTATACTTGATGAAGCTAATTTCGAACCTGATTATAGTGCTTCAGATTCGGAATCGGACGGCGAAGATGGTAAAATAATGCCATTACCTGCTAAGAAACTTAAACTTGACGAACCAGATATGGAAAAAGAAATGGATATAAAATCTTTTAAAAAACGATCAAAATCCTCAAGTAGTGAAGATTCATCTAGTAGTTCAGACAGTTCAAGTACAGATTCTGATAGCTCGGATGAATCACACAAAAAAAAGAAAAAGAAGCATAAGAAGCATAAGAAAAAAAAATCTGTGAAAAAAGACAGTAGTTCTGATTCAGATTCCTATTCAGATTCATCAGAAACAAGTAGTGATGAGGAAAAGCATAAAAAGAAATCAAAAAAGTCAAAGAATAGAAACAAGCAAGCTAAAAAAAAGAAAAAGTCAAAACACAAATGACATCATTAGATGTCTCTTAACATTTTAAAACATAATTTTGACAAAAACATTTTTTGCGAATGCTTTTTAATGTAAGATTCTCTACCAGAATTATTTGTAATTATCTGCATCAAATTAAGATTGTTATTCGATACCTATAAAACAACATAGTTTATGCTATATATATATATATTATATATATATACATATATATATAATATTGTAACAGTCTTCAAAATCAATTTGAATAGGATTATTGATCAATTACCTATTACCGAAAACCAAGATCTTTTGGGAATAAAAATTTAAAATGTTAAGTGAAAAAGTGAAGTGGGATATTTAATTGATAATATTTAATTTTTAAATATTATTAAGGCCTTTAATAATTGTCTATATTCCAGTTCCATCTTTGAAATATTGTAAGTAAATTCGTTACAATAAGTGATGTACATTATAGCACTCAGTAGATAGTATCATTAAGATATACAATACTTTTAGAAAATAACAACAGTTATATTTACAGTCCCTAATATTTCAATATTGTATTGTACTTTGATAATGTAATGTCAGTATGTAAAAGACGTCATAAAATAAAAAGACCAAATTCTTTTAACTTACTTTTGTTTTATGGAAAATTACAAATACTTTATTCCGTAATGTTTTATTGCATTAGATTTTCTTCATATATAAAATTTTAATAGTTTTGGAAACAAATTTGATTGTAGGAAGAATAAAAAAATTGTACTATTTTTTTATTTTATAATATAAAATTTTTAATACATCTAAGTTTCTAATTTGCACTTGTAAATGTTCATGTCGTTTTTAAGTTTCTAAATGTTTCCACAATACTACACAATAAAGGTACATTTGTGCTACTTTCACTTTCCATTGTCCTTAAACTTTGCACAAGCAATGATCTGTCAATTGGTTGTTTGGATAAATTACACTCTAAAATATAAATATTGTTCATGTCAGTATATAGTTTTGTAGATATTAATTTAGAATGTATTTACTGTATATGACTTAGCAACTTTACCTGAGATAAATACAGTTGAACTATATTTATATCCCATCCAATCTAAATATTCTCGTATGAGTTCATTTATAAATACAATATCTTGAGAAGGTTTTGGAAGTTTCATTTTATTTCCTTTATTTGAATTATCTAATAATTTTATTACTTCTGTACGTACTTTTGCTTTTATACGACCTAATTCTCCATCAGCTTTAAGAGATTCAGTTACAGCTAAACAAAAATATTTATTATGAACAACAATTACAAATTAATGTTATTAAAGATACAAAATATTGCTAAAATACATAGTTTTATAATATCCTAATAAATATTAATATTTACTATTATATTTTTAATAATGAAGTTTTAATTAAATGAAGTTATTAATAAAGTACGATTCTTAAATCCAATGATACTCTACATAAATATAAACAAGCAACGAAAATACATTGAAGCATTATACTACAAATATGCATTTGTATATTTGAAAATTAAATATTTTGCACTTTAAAATAATAGATATATTAAAAATTATTTCTTTAATAAATACCATTGATCAAATCCTTTTCTGTTGCCATATTTTATTATTATATTTGTGAATAAAAAATTAAATCCTGGAGAAAAATTCAAGAATTAAAGTGTTGTTTTAAATGTTTATATAAATCTAATGGTGACAAATGTATAACATATAACTATTTTTGAATAAACGATAAATCTATATTAAGTATTTTGTCGAACGGGAAATCATATTTAATATTTATTATTCATCGGCTTTTTGTTTACTCTGCTCATGTTGGCCTAATATGTCGAATACGTTTCGTTACCAAGAGCAACGCGTATGCGCATTTATGATTATGTAAAGTTCATATATCGCATCATTCAAAAGAATCCGAATCCTGAAATTACAACAGTCTAACTAGTAACGGCGCAACGAGTAGGCAAAAACTAGGAATACAACGAACTCATTTTTCAAAAACAGACAAAGGTCACAATCACTTTAAATCTATGCATTCACCAGCAATTTATTTGCAATAAATATTTTGTCATTTCCCTGTAACACATTCATCTGTATTTTTTCATGATATATAGTTTGTTATTTTCTTGTAAGTTATTTGTAATTATCATTTCTGTAATATATGTTCTTCAAATATATTTTGTAATCATTTTCGTACATCACTTTCTTTCTCAACTTTTCAATGTTGTGAAATTGATGTAAATACTTCGAAAACCAATATCATCGATATACAAAAAATTTACAACAAATAAATTTCTACTTATTAGAGTTTTACTCCTAAAATCACTACTAGAGCGAATGTGGTGCCCTCATAAGAGTGCAAGTGAATGGTGTGAAGTTAGTCGAGTTCTCTCTGTCTATTTATTGTGTTTTTGGTTAGGAGAGACAATGACGATAAATATGAAGTTACCAAAAAACGCGCATTACGCGAGCCAAAACGACTCTGCGAAGAAATAATATTTCGACATGATTTCTTTTGCATACTTTGTCAGAAGTTTAATCAATGACTACGTTTCCATCGAGGGTTCAAATCGGGTCAGAGTCGGGTTAGAGTCGGGTTGGGGTCAGCGCTTGTACGGTGGAAACGCCAAAGGTTTAGTTGAACTCTACCCTACAAAATTTTAGGGTAGCGTTCAGTTGAGGTTCGGTGGAAACGACAAGAGTCGAGTTCGTGTTGCCAACATAACAAATCCAAATTGCATTGTGTATCACGTGTTGTATTAATTGGTGTAGAAGAGGTTATTATTACTTTTTGTTGATGATCTTGTAATCTGAGAAATAATTTTTGTATGTTATTTTAATATTGTAAAATTAATATTGCTCTCCTTTACATGTCAGAATATGGTAGTTGACTTTGTGCAGTTGGTAATGTTCAACCCAACTCCAACCCCAACGTAACTTTGATCCGATGGAAACAGGCAAGGCAACTTAACTCTAACCCGACTCTAACCCGATTTGGACCCTCGATGGAAACGTAGTCTAAGTCGGTCTCAGGGCCAATTTTGCAATTTTGTCCAAAACAATTTTATGAACTGAAAACTAACATTTCTTATAGAAGAAAATTGTTCACGTCCCATTTTTCCAAAATCGACCCTGAGATCGACAATAGTGTGCAAAAGAAATCATGTCGAAATATTACTTCTTCGCAGCGTCGTTTTGGTCAGGAGAATGCGTGTTTTTTGGTAACTTCATATTTACCGTCATTGTCTCTCCTAACCAAAAACACAGTAAATAGACAGAGAACATTCGACGAACTTCACACCATTCACATTCGTTCTAGTAGCTTTGGCTAGCACCGGTATAACTATATTCAAATATTTATTTTCTGACTGAATTTAAACTCAAGTTGGGTTGTAACACACAAAAGTAACAATTATGTCAAATTAATTCATAAAACACATGGAATTATCGTATACCTAAGTATAAAAGAAAAACAGTGCAATTGCAATGTTTCACTGTAATATAATTGTTACGTTTGTTATGACTTATTTTAAGTTTGAATGTTACTGGTAAGATAAACTTTTAAACACATTGTCTAAATTAGGATTTATATTTGTATTTAAATTTATACTTGTCTGATATCTAAAAAATCATTGAATAGTGAACTTTTACAGGCCCACATTTACATTTTCGTTAACATGTAGCTTAGCATCAAAATTGGTTATGTATACCAGTCCGACTACTACTATTTGGATTCGGTAAGTTTTCATCTTTCCTACGGTTCTAGTCCGTATACGATATATAAATTTGCAACACTATCTCTTGCTATTTTTTTTATTCTTTGAGTATAAGGTGTCTTGCTTTTGTTTTGTAAGACAATGACTTGGGATATTCAGTGCTTCGAATACATGAAATTCATCCTCTATGCCAGAACTATTTACTACTTTAAAGCTTATGTGTGTAAAAATGAAAATTGCTTCATTTATAACTTTAGTTAGTGGGTGAATCTTACCAACTTTTTCTTGTCCAATGACCAACATAATGTCAGTTACCTTATTGTGCAGTTTAAAGTTAATTTCTTTGGTTTTTGGTATATTTTCTTTATTTTAAGTTGACTTGGTTTATTATATAAAATGCTGGTTACCGGGCTTAAATTATTTTTTACTTGTGTATTCTCTATCTTCTTTAAGCTATAAAAGTAAACTTTAGTCATACCCTTTTACTTAAATATCAAATCCTAACTATTTCTAAATCCTGCAAAAGCACTCTCAATTTTAGTAACTGGTTTATTTGTAAATGAAGCTATTTCTTTCAATTCAAAAATACTAGTGTAAACTTTCATTATAGTGATATTTTGCATAATATCAACCACTTAAAAAACTATTTCCTTAATTATTAATTTATCGAGTAATTGTGTTTTTTTTGTTAACCCTTTGAGCTCTATGGACGCATATATGGGTTTGGCGAAAGTCATCCGCGTGGCCTAAGGTCGCATAAATGGGTTTTCTCTAAGTCATTGGCATGGACTAAAGGCGCATATATGCGTTTGTCGATTTTTTCGATCAATATGCAGTCACTTTCGTGTAAAATTAATACAGGAATACTCGTTAGTAATTTGCTTTCATCAGAAATAGAATATAGTGATTTACTATCATCAGACAGTTAATCAGAAGAATCAATCGATGAAAGAAGAACAAATAGAAAACGGCCCAGGAAAGCGAAGAAATATTCCGGGCCCAGCGATGGTCAACGCTAGCCGCGCTCCATCCCTACGGACCGTTTCGGCCAGAAGTATTCAGAGCTCAAAGAGTTAAATAATAATGAATTAATAAATAGAAATATGTATAATAGTGACACTTGGACTAAGAAGGAGTTTAAAATACTTGCCTATGTTATTTAAGAAGAGATCTAAAGACATAAGTGAAGCATTTTCTAATAAAATAGTGGAAATCAGCATTATTTATTCAAGAAATCTTAAAAACAATGTGCAAGAATCTAGTCTCCTTTAAGTCGGAACTATTGACAACATTAGGTAAAGACAACTCTATTATGAGACCATTTCAACTAAAACCTTTAATTGGTTTTTTTTAAACCTCTTTTTTTCAGGAGAAAAATTTTACAGTCAACATGGAAGTATAAAAAGAAAGAGAGAAATTTTATAATAGCGATCATGCAGTGAGTAATTGCAAAACTGCAGAATTCATAAATAATTCTCTTCAAATCCTCCTTCAATTCCTTTAAACGGAATCATAATTGAATTGTGAGTAAATGTCAAAGATCTAATTTAGATAATTTACACAAGAATACACTACTTTTAAATGAGAAGCTAAAACATGCAAAAAAAAAGTTGAAAATGAAACACAAAACTGAAATGTTATAAGTAGAAAAAGTCATAAATAAATGTAAGCAGGAACAAAGTGAAATGGAGCAAAATGTAGTAAACAAAGGTTCATTTGGCTATAATTTAGCAAGTAATCAAAAATAAGTGACATGTGCAGCGATAAAAAATTACCAAAGTTTTTTACATAAGAACCAAAGGCTTTGCCTTATTACTACCAAAAATATGTAAAAAGCAGTTAACCACCAAGGTCACACTTATAATGAGGTAAATTTGTTTGTATTTCTTTCCATCATCAATAGCTGTTGATTAGAGCCTTAGGACAACATTAGTTATTAGATATTAGACATTAGATATTAGGACGACCCTGATCACCCTCTACTGCTCCAGCATTTTTAGATTCCTTAAAATATAAGAGAATTTCTTGGCCAAAAAATCCCCATTGAGCTTTGCCAAAATTGCAACTATTGTCCTTGGAATACATACCATCCAAGCTAGGAGCCTTATAAACTCTTTATTCTTTTTTTGTAGGCTTATATACCATCTAATTCCTAATTTCCTCTCTCTGCCTTGAAGAGATTCACAATGATTTTCACTCTTTTGTTTGTCAGAATGGGTGGATCATTTTTTCTTCATCTTTTCAGAACTATTTTGCCCCATATATCATTGCCAAACTTCTTAATAATTCTATCCCTGCAAAGTTTCTCTTTCCTTTTGATGAGTTTCTAGAAGGTGTTATTAAACTCTTTATATTTTCTTAAAGAATATAAATAATCTTTATGCTTGACTTTGTTACATTTGCTCTATGTTTCGCCACTTTGTGATCAATATATTTCCTTCTTCATTTCTTTCCTTGCCTCATGATCTTTGTAAGTGTTTTTTGCAAACTCTTCTAATAACCTTAAAAATTATGTCCACAGAAGCTTGTAAAGTATTTTCTGCATAATATATCCTGAAATTTATAAATATACGTTTTTGTTTTCAGATTACCAAGAGACCAGCCTGTAGGCCTTGCAGGAAGAAGATGGACACGGACTATCCAATCGTATAAGCGGTGTGTCTATGATCATTAAGAGATTTATCAACTTTGACCCGCCATTCCATTACAAACTTCGGCAATTTCTCGAAAATCAGCGTGATATTAATACTAGATTCTCCGATAGCATTACTAAAGATAGGTATTATTCCTTTATTCGTACAACTTCCTTGACCATCTACCCTGTTATATTCCTACCCCCATCATTTATGAAAACCTCACGACCCTCCGTGTGCATTAAAGTCGCATCCTATCACATTCCCTAGTCTTGAATAATCTAATCTTTGATGTAAGTTCGTCCCAAAAACTTATAAATCGCTATAGGCCTTTATCTAGAGAGAAATATCCTGCCATAAACAAAACATCATTAACATCTACCATCATATAGTTTACTCCCACACTATATCACATTTATATTTACTAACTATAATTAAGGCTATTCTATATAAGCTCCAAAAGTCCAATAAATCCTGTATCCTTTAAGGGACTTACTTAACAGTGACACATCAATATCCTAGTATAAAATCAAGAATTTGTAGCCAGTTGTTGAGGTTAACTTGTATATATTTAATTGCAGTAGTTCTAACGCAATTATTGTTATCTACTGAAATTAAGATTGATCATAACATTGGTCGAATCCTTCCTCCCTGCAATTCTCCCAAATTAGGCTATTCATTTCTAGCAAGAGGTGCCTTGCTTCATCCAGAGTCAGCTAAACCACTGACGTTTTGCTCATGAACCTCTTTCCATCCTGCCGTTCAACCGG